AGAGAATTGGCGTTTCAAATGATAATTCAAACCTCGGATACACATTGAAGGATTATGCATTTCTTTGTTACTTTACATGTCTTGATCATCAGGAATATGGACACAGCATCCAAGTTCACGGTACGACATAATTACGAAAGTGCGTGCAAAGTCGACCTCAACGTACATTTCTCACACAGCACTGATACCCATTGCGAGGAGTGTCCAAGTTGGATTCATTTGCCGGCACATGTGGCAAGATGAAGACGAAACCGCCAAAGCCTCATAACCCCTCGTTTAAAGAGTGGGAGTTGTACAAAGACGAAATGGAGGATATCTATTTACGACAAGACAGATCGCTCAACAGTCTAGTAGGCATAATGAAGACCCGGGGCTTCGAAGCTAGGTGAGTCGTACGCTCACATGACTCCATCAAGTGATCATCGCTCTCAGTGACTGGCCGTTGTCAGTTCAAGGATGTACAAGAGGAGACGTGGCCATAATGCTCCGGGTACAGCGTCAACGGGCTGCGCAAGGCAAACAAACAATGTTTTACCGGAATGGCAGACCAGTCGATATCGCCGGCTACCTGAAACGCAACGGCCTCCGCGGCCACGATGTTCTGGGTGACGAGGGCGCATCTGACGCAAGCCTCCTCGAGTATCTGCGCGCCCTCACACCGCCGCTGCCCAGACCGACCCATGCGGTGCTACCGTCACACCTCCAGGCGCAGGATCTGCTCACGTCGTGCTTCAGGAATCTCGCCATATCTTGGGCCGAAGGTGCTCACTCACCAGCACTGCTTCGAGCGAGATTCGACGACTACTTCCAAGGGGGGCTATGCGAAGCTTTACGCAATTTCAGCAGAGCGTGTCAATACTTTTCCCAACGGGACACTGCGCATGGGGCTCTCTTGAGCGAACGTGCATTCGCAGGTCTGCACACCTTGAAGACGACCTCCTCGGCTATAGCCCTCTTCGATTTTCTCGACTGTATCATCGTGCCCGATCACGGGCTGTTGAGAGAGCTATGCCGCTATCTTGCCTCCTATGCCAGAATAGGCGGAGCTCCTGAAAGTGTATTCGCTGGAATTTTCAGCTCTCTACACGAGATCTTCGATAAGGGTTCTCTGCAATGGAGTGTGGCCTTCATACTCCAGTGCATCAACCATTTTATCAGCATATTGCTGGACATAGGAGCAATGCTCTGCCGATAATGTCATCAGTTGACTTCCTTCTTTTGAGCGACCTCGGTCTGTTTGAATCAAGGCGCACGAGTCTTCCCGCATACCAAAGGTGGATGGAGCACAGCGCCTGTCAGGCGGCGCCGTCGCCCGGAAGAATACCGAAAACCGCCGCTGCTCCAGAGGGACTTCAAATAAAGACTGTCCTAGTGAGTATTACTATTAATCCTCTGCCATCAAGTCTCCTCTACCTTTCAATACTAAGAAAATCGCAGCTGCAGCACGGTCCATTGAATCCTCGCACCATCCACCAAGCCCAAGCAACTGTACAACGCTCCGCCGAGGAACCAACTGACCCGACGGCTTGGGTATACCACTGGATATCCTGGCAAGTCCTCGGTCATTATCATGTTCACGCTCAGCATCAGCACCAGCAGCCTGCGAGTTCGAATAGCCCAGCCGATCACAGTCCTGCCCAGCACCAAGAAATGGCGCACTACGCACTCGAGCGAGCTATCGACGTGGCCGAGCCACGCCTAGGGATCGGAGACCCCAAGATCTCAGAGACTATGCGCGTACTGGAGGACTCGGCGCGAGCGGTGAAGAGTCGGCGGGAGGTCCGGGCTGCAGAGTCGTTGAGGCTGTTGAGGGAGGGGAAGCTAAGGATGGTGTGGCTAGACGAAGTTATGGTCTCGAAAACGTTCACTGGCATTTTTGCAAGCGTGTTTGTGGCGAAGGGGAGTGAAGTGGGCGCTTGAGAAAAGGTCTTTTTGCCAGTTTACTATGGTTCTTCCGTAGGTCATGTAGCCAGCCGTATATCCCCAGCGCGACAGCTGCCTCGACGTCTGCTACAGGGCTTTACGTACGATACGCTTCGCGATTCCACCAGATAAGTTGAAAATGATGGCACCATAAAGTGTGAATGCATTTGGATTACCAGTAGTGATCGTTGTTTGCAATACCACGGAACACCGCATATTTTCGGGGTCAGGTCTACACCCGAAAGACCTCGTATAACACTAATAGGCGCAGGAGGTGGGTGGTCACCAGATAGTCGTGACTTCAGCCTCCCGTCTGACCGATCATTCTGTCCCACCAGTCTTTCCAGTCTACCGTCATCTTCTCATGTCGTGCCTCCTCTGCAGCAAAGACCATCGCATGACTCCTGATAATTTCTTCTAGACTACAGCCGATGAAGTCGTGCTGCGCCTTCGGAGCAGGCCACCCATGGTTCTTCACCTTGTCAACAGCCAGGACGAAATTCCGCGTCAAGCCATGGTCGCCTCCCCCGTGACCGAGCGACTCCATTTTGGGCTTGTACGTTCTTGTCTCTCCGTTCCGGAAGTCGTTGACCGTGATGGTCTTGGAATCGGCATAGATCTCGCCCTCAGTGCCGTGGATGTACGTGTAGCGCTGACACTGCCTCTTCGTCTGCGCAATCATGTGGAACGTGGCCTGCTTCGAGCCTCTACCGCCGACCGCATCCTTCGCCGTCGCGCTGTTGGTGGGCAGTGGATCCTCGTCCCAGGTCATGGTGACTACTTGTTCGTCGCAGACGTCGTTGTCCGACTCAAAGACGCATCTGCCCCACCAGTTCTTGCCGTCGATGACTTCCTGCGGAGTTGTCTCGTCGTAATCATCAGCCAGCGTGGGCAGCAACGCATTGGCGGCCTTGCCGTAATGACCCCCGTAGCTCTCGATGTCGGGCAGCACCACGCTGACGGGCCACCGAATGTTGCCGGTCTCGATACCTTGATGTCTAGAACTTATATAGATCTTCTTGGATGAGTATAGGCAATCCTTCTCGGCGGGGCAGCTGAGACAGTTCGTGGCGTTTCCGGCTGACTTTGGCTTCCTGCTCTTCTTGAAGAACTGGAGGGATCCGGTCGACGAAACCGACGTGGGGACATGTGGGGGATCGTCTGAGTCCGGAGGAGGGGAGCATAACAGCCACAAGATGAGATCGATGTCGTGACAGCTCTTCGTGAGCAGCGACGGAGCAGTCGTGGACTCCTTCCGCCAGTTCCCACGAACGTAGCTGTGGGAGAAATGCCAGAAGCCGACGGGCTCCGTGTGCATCACACTGAGAATGTCGCCAATTGCATTATCTACCAGGAGAAGCTTGCGCAACATGATGTTATGCGGCGAATACCTCATCACATGACCAATCGAGACGACCTTCTCCTCTTGGTGGGGGATCATGGCGTTGTACATGTCGACGCAGTCGTTCAGTGTTGTTGCGAGCGGCTTCTCACACATCATGTGAATGTGCAACGGTGCCAGGGCCATGAGGACATCGTGGTGCTGCTCGTCGCGAACGCAAATGAACGCCGCATCAACTCCCTCTGGGACAGGTTCGCCGGCCTTCTCTCGCTCGCGACGCCCCAGTTCCCATTTGACGAAGTCGCGCCAGTCGGAGAACTGGGAGCCTTCCGGGGGCGGCTTGTCCCCCCAGATGAAGTTCTTTCCGTAATCTTGGCGCTTATAGGCATCCGGCTCGCACACCGCGGCCACCACCCCGTTGCTCGATTGCACGGTGCATCGACCGTAGACCCGACCTCGCGAGCCTGCGCCGACTATGAGCAATCGCGGTGGCTTGACAGACATGGGCGGGGGCGATGGGGGCTGGACTGCTACATCCCCATCGTTCTCCAGGTCCGCTGGACCTTCGTCTTGCAGATTGTGAGGCGCCATCCTATGGTAGGAAGAGTCCGATGAGCGGGTGGTCGCCGTTTTCGATGATTTGGTCCGGTAAGAGGGAGGGGAGCAGCCAGCTGTCTCAAGTGTTCTCCTTGCCAGGTTAGGGGAGCTACTTGAGCTGCAGTATCGGAAGCATCTCTGGGGTATTATTAGTACTGGAGACGATGATAGCGGGATCAAGCGCGATGCCGGTCTAGGTCCTATGCCAGCGGCGGCCGGGGCAATAAGCCATCGGCCTATAGCGGGCTGAATAATTCGTTCCAGCGCCATCTTCAGTGGTCAGCCAACCTTGAAGTGCAGCGGGGCGTTAGGTAGGCTCTTCCACCACGCAGCGCTAGGTGATCAATCAGATCTTGGTCTTTCTTCTCTACCTACATCCTGCAGCCTCCTGCACATCAGGATCCAGTGATCGATAGCAGATAGTAGGTGGTGTCCTGACGCAACGTTGCCATTCAATATGAAAATCTAGCTACTGGTTATTTTATATGGTTGCATTGCATCCGATCTGTGCTATTGTACAATGCAGGTTCTTGACGATGTTCGACACGTTTTTTATGGGGGCAAGCCATCCGTTGGTTACCTGGTGTGATGCTCTTCATGACATGTGACATGGATTCTGGGAGAGACACTGACAGTATGTTAATAGCTGTCTGGCTGCCCTATCTGGAAATTATTGAAAGCTCGTGATCTTGTGATCTAGTGAACATATCCAATTTGACAATTCCCAGACAGATGATGGTAACAGGATGGCAATGTCACGAGTTACCAATGATACCTAGTTGCGCAGAAGGGACATCCGGCCGAACCCTGGTGGTAGAAGACCATTTGCTATGTGTTGACAAGCAACCCCAACATCTCGTGCAAAGCCAGTGTATCAGGAAGTCAGTCTCAAAGGCTCGAAAAAGAAATCCATTAATTGCACGCTGGCACCAATGCTTACCGTTGTGTAAATGGAATCATTAGATCGAATACCTCGTAGGTATGCCACCTTACCGAAGAAAGAATGGAGGTCAACAAGATTCACGTTCAGGTACCTGTTAGTTACTTATGCATCGAGCCATAAGGTATCCTATGTTTGGGGACATGCCTCTGGGAAGAGCAAAACAAAAATAGATTAATGGCAAAAGATAAGATTTTATGGACGAGTAGGGATTTGAACCCTAGGCCTCTCGCAGACGCACTTGGAAGCAATGCAAAGCGAGCGCTCTACCCCTGAGCTACACGCCCTGGGATGAACAATTTTCCTGTAATAGAAATCATAATGCTGACACCACCGTGCTCCCTGTACATCATTGAGACACGTGATCCTAAGTCTTGGCTGTGACAGGATTTTTGCAAAGGGGCGAAAGAACTAGATTTCTGTCACATCCAATTATCTAAAGGTTCAGGAGTCAAGTTTGGGATCTCAATGATAGCAGTCTGCATGCTGCCTTGTCGTTCATCTTTGCTTACCTCTTTAATCAAAGTTGTGATACCAGTCGCTGTCCTGTGCGGTTTTGGGCACCTACGTGCTTAGGTATCTAGGTAGCGGGTGGGTACTACCTAGTACTCAGGTAGCCAGACGAGCCAGCATTACCTAGCACAATGAAAAATTCTACCTTGACGGCATTTGAAGCTTGGATTAACTATTCTCAAGTTTTGCGAAGGCTTACCAGCCAATTTCCATCACGGCGCACAATAAAGTATATTGGCTCCCCGTCATGCTACCTGACTGGTGGTGGCTCGAACATTTAGGATGTACTTCGTTCTACACAGGTACTTAGTTTCATGGACTACGGCAGAGGAGAGATTATTGCTGTGGCAAGCAACGAAGTCGTCGTGCGTAAGAGGAATAGTCCGTGTGGCCTTACCAAACGTTCGGTATTGATCATCAGCCGTAGATACTATTCAAATTATCCTGCATGGTTTTGCAAGACTAATGGCAACAACACTTTATTGGGAATATCACTCATTACTCTAGCCAGGCCTCGCCCTCCCTTGAAAAGTATTAACTCTATCGAGACAAACACAGTGATGACTCGTCATGGCGCACGCTTGACACAGAAAGGATTTGGTGTGAAGATGCCGTATGGATCAGCACGCTTTCGAATCTGTTGCAGCCTCTCGTACTTTTCCTCATTCTCGTAATAGCATCTCCAGACGTTGTCGAGGTCCCAGTCACCATACGAACCCCAGAGGACACGACGGTCTTCTTTCGAGAAGACACCTCTAGGCCCAATCGCTTCCTCGTCGTTCACTTTCTGCCAATCTTCGGCGTGGGTCTTTGTCTCTTCCTCGTGGAAGCAGTCCATCGTACAGCCGATGGTCGTATCGCGCCAACTGAAAGCCGTGCCGTTGTCAGCATTTTGGGCAAACTGAGAATACTTGCCCCCAAAGCACTGAAGTTGCGCAGAGAGCCAACAGCGATTGTGCTCTGGTCGCACGATCGCATCGATCCGGTCGGTTACCCATTCGGCCCAGCCGTCTTTAGCGAGGGTGCGCGAGTTCGTGACATATGTGCGCTTGACGTAAGGATGCTCAAACTCTCGTACGTTACGGAAGATCCATTCACCAGTCAGTTGCGACACTGGTTTCTCTTGGACTGAACTATCGCCAAGCAGGTGATCCGCACCCTCTTTGATGCGATCGAACCATGACATGTCACACTCGTCACCACTCTCAAATGGTACCCATTGTGCGTAGACGATAATGGTACGTGGCCAGGCGATCAAGCCATTCTTCCCATAGAGCTCGGGGTGCGTCCTCGCCATGACTTGGTCAAGATCGGGCCATAGGTCAAGCAGTGGGAAAGCAGAACTCAGTACGCTGACGCAGAAGTCGTAGTTTCTAGGGAAGTTCTCGTTGTCAGACATTTCGGCGAGGATATCGACCAATCGTTTCAGTGTCTTGGGGTCATAGAAGTAAAGGGCTTTCATTCCCCGTGAGCCGTTGTAGTCTTCGTCACGATGTACCTGCAAAGTCAAATGCGTCAAGACCCCAAGGTTTCCGGGACTTCCGCCTAGAAACGCCCAAAAGAGGTCTGGATCAGTTGCCTTGGTGACTTCCTTCGAGTTGCCATCGGTGTCCAGGATCTCTAGAGACAGGACGTGATCTCCAAGCAGCCCGAAACTGCGCGCCAGCTGGCCGTATCCTATGGATCTCATCAGAACTCCTTCCTCGACCAATCTCTAACAGCAACATTGTCTTACCTCCGGTCTGGGCATGGCCACCTAGATGCACTTCGGTACATTGCCCGTGAGGCACGAAACAGTGGTTCTTTGTCAGCCAGGCATTAAACTCCCCCAAGCTCCAGCTAACACTTGTGCGAGCGTACGTCTTTCCATCTTTTTCATTTCGAAAGATGGTCCTGTCATCTGCACCTCGAAATGAGTGCTCCAGGTCCAGTTGGATGTTCGGAGCACTCGTCGAAGAAGCTCCACTATACTGATGACCGCCCGTCTTGATCGCAACAGCTATCTTCCTCTCCTTTGCATACTTCAAGGTAAGTGCAATGTCCTCTTTCGTCTTGGGTTGGATAAGAAGCCCTGGGTTGAGATCACGCTCGACGCCATAAGTAGAGGTCGCGTACTGGTATTTGTTCGCTTCGTAGGTCTTGGTTCCAGGTACATACTGGTTACCAGTGATTCCGGCGATCGTAGCCATGGGCGCAGAATGTTTCGATACGTTGCGAGAGCCAATCGCGATTCCTCGACCTATCTTTTTAAGGCCAGTCCAGATTCCCATACACATGTTCGGGCGAAACGTTTGAATGAGATGGGCCGTACCAAAACACTCTTATTGTGGCCGCCCCTTTCGTCTGGGTACGTTCCATTACTTTAATACCTCTCTATCGATTCTATGAGCCCAAGCGGTAGGGATTGGGACAGCCTTGTCGCACACCGATATTGAGCTGAGCCTCTGGCACGCGAGCTGAAAGCTGACCACCTGCTTGTTCGCTTACATGGCTTGCGCCATCGTCCTAGATACCATGTCTCTGGGCTGGAAGTATCTAAATTCAACGAATACGACGTGGTATGTGGCTTTTCAGGGAAAGACACGCCTGCAGTCAACCGTCCATACCAACATGCCCCGCGCATCATGGGGCTACAGCCGTCCAAATGGTCTGACGTCGCCAATATGACAGGCGCGAAACAGGCATTCACCACGGTCGGTGAGACTCTATAGGCTATGAAGACGCTTGTAGATTAATCAAGCGTTGTGTGATGAATTGCTGTCGGGATTCATCCGCGAAATCAAAACCTACTTCCCAGCTGAACCCACAGCCACGACAAGGGTGACGAGCAAGTATCAGTAAGCGCACGCGCGTGTCAACAGCGGGCGTCGGGTCACATGTCTGGTAAGCTGACAATGCAACAGCCAATGTATGCGCGACATTCTGGAAGCGAGTAAGAGTGTGAGACCGAAATTCGTAGGGATTTACATTTCGGTGCTCTCAGCGCGGTGATCTGGCAAATGATACAAATCTTTGGCCAAGATACGAGCAAGCACGAGATTGATGACTACTAGTTAGAGCAAACTAGGTACCCATGGCCTCACGGGAGTCTTGTTACCGTTGACCTATGATAGTGAACTGACGATGACTACAGTGAGGGGCGGCCGTCTGCTCTCACATGCTGTTCCTTCCAGCATGCCACTCGCGCAAAGTTCTGTCACATTGAAGAGTCACAGCCTTATGCGTCATCTTGAATCGACTCGGCTTTTTCCAAATCACCAAAAATAGAGATCTGGATCCTTACACTGATAGTCGAGGCTCCAGGTCCTCGCTTGCATCTGCCCTTCCTTGCAGATTGAGCGCCACCATCTGCAGCAGAAACCATGGGTTTTGTTCATCTCCAAGACTGCTCAAATCTGCTTGAAAGTGATACTGTCATCGTTATAGTGCAACAGTCTTTTCGAATACTGTGTTGCCTCCGCTCGGATTATTTACAAGTATAGTTTACCGGGATCTTGAACTGCCCTGACGAAGGCTATCACACCAGCCAATAGAAGAGGCATCATATTTGTATCAGCATATGTTTATTGGTTGAGGTAGGTGATAGTCAGATTTGGGGGTCGTGCTGGCAGGTGACACCTCGTCTGACCAGTCCAATCGTTCCGCAACCTCCATTTCGCATAGAGTTTAGCTCTGGACCTCTACAGCCATGAAATTCCAATACATACCCCGCATTGCCTTCTGAGTTCATCATCGAGACTTCGCAGATTAAGAGGTGTAAAGACTTGGGGCACATGATGCTTATATCAACTGTGTTGCCGGATCAGGCTTTGGTCCCAGCCGTTTCTCTAGTCCTGTCGAGACCAATTGGTGAAGTCCCTGGCAGAGGTTATCAGTCGAGCAAGAATCATTCAAGCTCCCACCGAATGCCGCTCCTCTGTATCACAGCCTTTTCCTCTCATCAAAGCTGCCGCTCGTCCAACTCACCATACGTCAACTCATTGAGGCGATCCCTGTCCCATAAGTAACACAGTCCGTCGTTCCATAGCTCTCCTGGATCGTCGTTGCCATAGAGCGAGTCCAGATCCGTAGACGGGTCATACAAGATGGAATCCAAGGCGGACGGGCCTCCCAACTTGTCGAGTTTTGAGAACGTACGATCACGGCCATTCGCGATCCCCTTTCCATCAACCAAGCTGGGATTTAAGTCCAATCGCACCAACATGGCTCCCGCGCCATTCACCGACGTGTCTTCCAGATCAACGTAGTTCGTGACCAGCTGATAACCTCTCTGTTGTACCATGCTCCGATTCATGAGGGTCAGGAGGTCATCAAGGTTAGCTGTTGAGAGAACACCGATGAAGCGCGAGGGCATGGACCTGCCATTAATGCTGGTAAGTGCACGAAAGTCTATGATCGGTTAGTCGTTTTCGGGTAGATGATATATAGACGGTAACGCACGCGGAGTACAGCGCTGTCTCAAGAGGAGATCGACGCCGGAGAACGCCTCAACCTCATATTCGGCAAAGTTCTTCCAAAACTCTACCAACCACGCCTTCGGATTTCGGCTTCGTTTGCCCGTCGCTTTACTGTACACAATGGTGGGCACGAGGACGGACAGTATCTGACGGATGTAGAGGTACCGATGAAGACGTGCCATCTCGTTAGGTGAGAAAGGACCTACTCCTCTGAACGGAAAGCCAGGTGCGTGCTGGAGGGCAGCCATTGCTACGATTGAAGCCAACTGCTTCATGGTGAGATACATTGAAGACATCTTCTGCATCATGTCTTTCGT